TTATTACAATTAATTCAGGTTTTTAGTTGAGATGAAAAAAAGTTAATGGCACGAGCGGCATTCGAACCCACGATCTTCGGCTAGATACGCCGCTGCTCTACCACATGAGCTGTCTTGACCTCTATCCACTCGGACATCAACTTCCTATCTCAACCCCACCGTATGAGTTTTCCCTTCTTTTTGCCATTTTTCGAAACCCGCTCGTGCCATTAACTTTTTTTCGTCTCAACTAAAAACCTTAATTAATTGTAATGATTTAATTGGTGAAGCGGACCACGAAATAAGTGAATTTATAATTTTTTATTTGAATAATTAGTCACCATGTTTTTTGGTATCAATTGAAATTTTTTTTTCCAATGATAAAACATTTTTGAAGCACTGTTGATGGGTGACCCCCAGAAGATTCGACTAGGAGACTGTATCCTCACCTGATTAAGAATTGGCCATGCGAGGTTAACAGACGGACACTTACTTTTTGTGCAAAGCCCGCGTATGTGTCCGGCATGCAGAGAAAGGTTGCTCGATGTGCCCCCCCTAATTGAAGGGTGCAATTGTCCTTGGCTTCATACAAAAAGCGAGTAGGAATGTCATCAGATTTAAGAATGGTCTTGGGCACGGCAGCGAGTATTTGGGTCCCTTGTTCCGATTCTTGGAGGAAACGGGGTTGTTTTGTTGTATGTAATAGTAACAGTTGTGTATACCTAGCTTGTGTCGAGAGTGAATGTATTCATTAGCGAGAATGTGTGATGTAAAAGAGACGATGGCGGAATATCGAGTACTTCAACGACCCTCTATTAGGTTAGTTGTAAAGTATGTAAAAAAGGTTGTGTTGATAGTGAATGTATTTATTAGTGTGGATGTGTGATGATGTGCGTGGGTCGATGGAGAAATATCGAGTATCCCATCGTCCATCAATTAGTGTATAATATGTGTAAGGGGTGATGGAAGAATATCGAGTACTCCATCACCCTAACTGAATGAATCGTATGTATCAGAGTGAATTATTTAAGAATGAACGTGAGAACGAATTGGTTTGGATGCCGTTCATAGCACCTGGAGCCCAACCTCGGCGGTTGGACGAGTAAGACTGAGGTCTGTCCCCGGACACCGTGCTGGGTGATTCTCGAGTCTGCCGGCAGTTTACTGTAAATAGCAAAACCAGGAAATGATTTGCCGGTGGTCTACGAGAAGTAAATAGGCCCAAGTCGGCACATGTTTGTATGTAAATACGAGTCTGTGCGGATTTAAGTCTATACAAATCCAAATTCAAAACATTTTTGAAGCCTAGATGTAAAAATTTGTTCATACTTTATCTTAGCAATTATTTATCACTTTCGTTTTGATCTATACCTAATTCCATATTTAATCCATTTTCTAAAAATGTAACCGGGCACATTGTTTTGTCAGCAAGTAAAGCAGTTTTTATTTTGATAATATGTTACGAGTATGTTTATTTTCTAGTAATTTAATTCGTTAAATTAATTTATAAAAAATAATTACAGACGTGTATTTCATTTTTTCTACATTTTTTATTATTAAAAATAAAAGGGTAGAGCATAAAAGTGTGTATATATAAATATCCAGCGCAGGAGTTCATAAATCAATTAATAATAAAAAAGGGATTTCTTGTTAATACCTTTCACGGAAAATCGCAAATTGCAAAACGTGTTTTGCACGAAAAAACATGGTGAATCTGGGATTATTGTAAATGTCCAATCTACATATAATAATGTGTAATTAATAACAACACTTAAAACGTATAGCTAGAACTCTTATCTGAACAAACAAAGAGAGCTTAAACGATGAGATTTTGTCGGTTTGTCAAAATGTTATTAAAATTGTGTTATTTATCCTATATCGTATTTTTTTTCGTATCACCTTTGGCCCGTTTAAATAGAAAATGGCGTTAAACCGATACGCCCCAGCGAATGGTTGGCGTTCAGAGACGATCAATTTGATCTGGCTACTGATAACACTTCATCGACTCGCAGGCCTTGAGTTGGGTTCAAAACGATTAAGAGGATTTATCGTTTTAAACATAAAATTGTTTAAAGCCAAGAGTATTCAGTCGATAATGGATGCCAATTGCCGGTTAAACAAAATAAAATAACTAATAAAGTAACGAGAAGAAATTAGAACCATATGGTTCTGGTAGACTTATGTTTTGCACCGCCATATACTTCGTCGGTCATCGAATTGTAATATGAAGGAACTCTTGCGTCCGGCCGTGTTCAAACAATCCATTTGCATACACTAATGGGAAAATAAATTGTGTATGTAAATCGACCCCGGCGTCACATAGGTGGTGGGATTACAAGAAATGTACAAGTTGTCAGATGGCTCGGGGGCACGGTGGGCGGAGGAGGCAGAGATGAATAAACCAGGAGGCCGGCACTTATTGGATCCGTAGAAAGAGCGTCTCCGGAGGGAGATCCTGCATAATGTACTATAATAATAACAACCCGAAGTCGCTGCCAAGGAAAATGCTAAAACAATGTACAATCATATGTATACACACACTTACAAACATATATTGACAAAATGGAAAAGTGTTATTTATAATTTGACTCTTGTGCTCAAGTAATAAAAAAACACTTACCCAAATATTTTTTAAACCATATGTCAAATTTATTTATTTAATTTTTAACTCAAAATTTATCTAAAAATTTATTTCGTTACTAAATGGTAGTGCTTTGGTTAATTTTCTTTCAAACCATTATAATTAAATCATTTTTATTAAAAATAGTCAATTTCTGATCTCCTTTGATTTGATTTTTATCAAAACACGTATGTTGTAATTAATATAACTATAATAATATATTTAGTTTGAAAGAAACAACAAAATACGAGTGTACGATTTTTGTCTTTGAGTATCTCTAAAAAATTAGAGATAAGGCTTAAGATCAGTTGGAATGAAAAAACTTACTTCCTTCCTCAAACATTCCAAGGATTCATATTTGTCATTGTTTTATTAATAATGTACAAGGTTAACAAATACAATTATAATAAAACATGGATTGGATACTTGAAGTAGATAAACGGAAATGATCGGATATAGAAATAACATTCCTAATTAGAGGGAATGTATTTATTAGCTTGAACGTTGGAATATTTGGTTCTGTTTGTGATGGATTATCGAGTACTTACAGAAAGACTATTTTCTTGGTCATATAAAATATTTAGTTTTATATAATTTTCAATGTGACAGAGTCGTAGTCAATGGCGTAATATACAGGGTGAGTGATTTTTTGATGCACCATTGGAAAAGACTCGAGGCTTATTTCGTTTGATTAATATTAATAAAAGAAAGTGAGTCAATTTTCGGTGCACCATAGGAAAACCAATGTTGGTGCGTCTAATTATGACTCGGCACATTTTATTTTGTTAGTCTCGTACCAAAAATAGGCGAGTCACTTTTTGACGCACGATGCGTTACAAATTAGTTTTAGTAGGTTGGAAGGAAAATAAACAAAACCAATATTATTAAAACATTATACAAACACAATGTAAAAATTTAAAAAAAATTCTTCACAAATTAATTTGATTAAGGTTTAAGAGTATTTTTTTCGTCCGATCATCGTTTTACGATAGACTAGGCTACTACGTTGCAGCAAATGGAGGTCTGTTTGAACAATTATTATAATGATTTTGAACATTTTTAGTTTGCTAACAAAGGAGATGGTTACATTTATTTAATTTTTTTACTTTACCAGAAAAAAGGAGATTGTTACATTTATTTAATTTTTTTACTTTACCAGAAAAAATGATGAATTTTTTTTTAAATTTTTACATAGTGTTTGAATAATGTTTTAATAATATTGGTTTTGTTTATTTTCCTTCCAACCTACTAAAACTAATTTGTAACGAATGGTGCGTCGAAAAGTGACTCGCCTATTTTTTGGTACGAGACTAACAAAATAAAATGTGCCGAGTCATAATTAGACGCACCAACGTTGATTTTCCTATGGTGCACCGAAAATTGACTCACTTCCTTTTTTAATGTTAAAATCAAAAGAAATAGGCCTTCAATCAGATTTAAACGCACCCACGTTGATTTTCCAATGGTGCGTCAAAAAATGACTCACCCTGTATATTCTAGTGACGACACAATTATGTGAATGTATTTATTTGCGTGAGAGGTTGTGTTTATAGACACGGTGTAAAATATCGAATCAAATCTAACCATTTCGGTTTATATAGGATAGGGAATACGTAATTTTTAATTTGTGTGAATGTATCTATTGACGCGAATGAAGGAAGAAAGTCAAGGTGAAATCGCCTCGCTGGCCTCACAACCATATGTTTTGGTTGTACGTAAATTTAGGAGAGGCGTGGGTTCTCAGCAGGATGTCGAGAACACTCGTGTCTCGACAAACTTAGAATAGGTTCTCGTCATAATAGTATGATGTGTATTTTAATTTAGCACATTTTAGTCACGTATAGAAGGCTAATCATCAATCATAAAAGCATTAAAAAATGAGAGATAGACAAAACGTGAGGATCAGGCAATGGCCATAATAGCTAGCCGCTCTGGTAAAAATGAATATCTATGTACACTTCTGAACCTTATTCAAGGATTATGAGAGTAAGAATTTAATTTACAGCGAACGAATCGAAACCGTCCATTTTATATCAGAATTATAACCTCCATCTGGTTATCACATATAGAATGGCCAAAACTCTTTTATTCTAAATTGATATATCATTGGTTTAGAAGATGCGGTCTAAATTTCCTCATTTTCAAATTGTATATAAAAATATAATTGAGATTGTCTAGTTTTTGTAAATTTTTCTGGTAGTAGTCTAATTGTGGTATGCTTTGAAATCTTGTTTGTGAGCAATTTACGGTCTCAGGCTTTTCGGTCATACATTAGACAATCATTAGAGAATGACATAATCCACAGGTTTTTTATACGTAAAACGATCCGTTTAAATAATTGAAACTTGACAAAATTTCAATTTTATATCAGTGATTTATTCTTGATTTTCATCTGTTCCAGGTACTTCTTAATAGAAACATGAGTCTTGACCGATTTTAACGCCATTATGGTCTCTAATCCTTAATGGCTTAAAATTAGGAGAAATGACGGGTGTTATGAAGATACGTACTGTAAGTACTTAAAAATATATTCCTTAAACGAATCCTAAGTAATAAATTTTAATTAGTAAAGTTCTATATTCTTAATTTGGCAGTTTGAAAATATATTAATTAATATATTGTGCCTTTTATTTTCTATAAAGGTAGTGTTAAAAAATAAACCTCATGCCAATAATAATCTTTTTATATTTCGGGGTTGATTCTATCTTCTATCATAAACCTAATTATTAAAAAAAATGTTTAAAAGCCACATTGAGTTAGTAAGAAATTATAAGAAAAAGAAGTTATATTCTGATTTATTAATAAATTACCAAACTAATTAACAATTCGGTTTATTATTAAATTCTCCTACCCATTAAGCATATCATTTATGATGTAACTTGTATGGTTATTACCGGTTACTTGCTTGATTATAAATCACTTTAATTCATTACTTTGGTCAATTACAACCAAATAAAATGCATATGGATTTAAATTTAAAGCGATATGGAGGGTTTCAGAATGGAGAATGGGAAAGTCTAGATAAGGCTTGAGATCGAAATTTTTATATGGAAATTTTGGAAGCGAGATCAGTTCTTTGAAAAAAGTGTGAAAGATGTGTATATAGTGAGGTTAATGACATAAGAAGGAACTTTGACAATTTGTCTAAGAGATTTTGATTGGAAAGATTGAATGCGCCGGATGTCTTATATAAAGTTAGTTGAGTTTTGACGGTCAAAACAGATTTTAATTCCAAAAGTCTTCGTAGTTGTCCTTGTTTTCTATTAAGTTGTTTCTTACGTTTTGTATGGGGATTCCACGTCAGTCTGTTGTCTTTTCAATTGAAATTATTCCTGATTATTTTCAAATATAAAAATAGAATACTAATATTAAAAATTGATATCAATTGTATTTTATCATTTTTATTACATGATTTTAATAAACTAAATGGTACATCGTTCGTTTATAGGACGCAGTCTAAATTTCCTCATGTCAATATTGCATATAAAAATAAATAAAAGCCTGGCCTAATTCCTCTAACGCACCCATGTAATACTCTTTAATCTATAGAGTGGTAGAATCGTAGAATGATGGAGACAGGAGTGAGTTTTGTATGAAGGAATTCTATGTGAATCTAGGATAAAATGAGTTTTAATACATATAATTATTTTAAACCAAAAATACGTTTTTATAATTTGTAAAAGTTTATTGCCTGTGCCAAATAAATATTTTATAGAGAGATTGTTCTGGATAAGAGAGGAAATCGGACTGAAAATTATTAAAAATATACGTCTAAAAATATGAATTGATTAGTTCATAAAGTTATGAATGTCTAACCGTAAAAAATCAACAAGTAAATGAAGCCATGTGTAATTAGTATAATTATAATTTTGAAAGTAAGGAACTGGTCAATTATTTATTTTTATTTATTATATGTTAAATTAAGCCATATGTTTTTTTAGTTTATCATAGTTAACCAAAGTATTCTCACCAAGCCCAGATATCTTGATGATGCCTAAGACAAAATACGCACCTTTCTACTACTTTCTTATCCACTATTATATATACATAAATATTACATGTATTATGTACGTTTATATTTTTTTTAACGAAAAGATTTAATAGGAAAAGGTTTCACATAGGCTAGATGTATTTGAATAGGCTAAACCAGCAATGCAAGTTGGTTGTGCGGAAGTGTATAGCGGTGGCGCCGTTCATTTCTATGTCATTTAGTCAGAAAAAATACAAAATTTTGTTTAAAAAATCTCGATTATTTATTGTTTTAAATGAAGAATAATTGTATACCAACAATGACTCAAAGATTTTGAAAAGGTGAAGATTTAAATTTACTAAATGGTTCATACCTAGCAATATGTACTTAAATCACCATCCACCTCATAACCTCAAACCATAGCTAATTTATTTGCATCACATTTTCACTCCGTTTAAGAACAATCTGACTTAGTAAATCACCTGACATTCCTCCTTTCCCTACCTTTGTTTCATATTATATATAATATTAAAAGAATATTATATATAAATATTAATATATATAATATTAATATTATATATTATAATTATATATTTCCTGAACTTCTTATACAAAACTACAGAATGCCAATCTACAAAGTGGTGACAAATGGAATATTGACGGCATATCCAAATTATTCGAATCCCTTATATTAGATAAATTAAAACCTTTTATTCTCAACACTACTTTAGATAAACAACATGGCTTCACCAAAGGAAAATTCTAAACTAATCACCTCCTTCCAGAACTTTATTTTAAACTTGTTTGCTGAAAAGTGTCAAGTCGCTGCCAAATATACTGACTTTTCCGAAGCATTTGACCAAGTTAATCACCCATTTTTATAGTCGAATTAACCGATCGTGTTTTCCATCTCACTCTTTTAATTTGATTATCTTCCCACCTTACCATTAGAAAACAGTATATTAAATTAAAATCTTATCATTCTTTTCTTTTCCTTTCATCCTTTGGAGTCCCCAAGGGCTCTCACTTAGGTCCCTTTCTATTCTATTAATAATTCAATTGAAACAGAATTCATAATAATATCGACGTATATATTATTTACCAATGTGAGATTTTTGTTCTGACAATGTTATCTTGTTGATGCTGATGTCTTTTTAAGTACTTCGACTTTAAGACGACTGTATCCTTTATGACTTACCTTGTATGATCATGATCTGTGGCTTGCTGAATTTATCGTGCTTTTTGATGATTTTTTGTAAATTTAAAAAAAACATGGTTCAAATTTCCTTGATCTGCTTCATTGTTAGTTGGATAAAGATGAACATTTTCAAAAGGATAGAATTTGTAGATTTGTTAATTTTATAATATGGGATAAGTAATTGTTTGATTATTGAAACAGATTGAATTAAATTATAAATTGCTTATAATGAAATGTGGTTAGATTATTTACTTCCTTACTGTTTTAATAGGTTTTTGGTTAAAGAATCTGCTCCTTCGATGAAAAAAGGATAGTGTTGAAATATTTGGTTGTTCTGTTTTATCTCAGTTTATTTATAGGATGTTGAGCCATGAGGAAATTTTTTTGCCTATTTGGGAAATGGTTTTGAAGAAATCATTAGCTTATCTTTAGTACTCGAGTGTGGCAGTTTCAGCTCTTTTCAGCATCCGAAGCTGCTTTACCCCATGACAGGGTTTTCGACCCTTTCCGTCTAAAAGTCGTCGAGATACTAGCAGAAGCAGCACTCGAGTGCACGTAGGGTGTAAACACAGCAACAATGGTTGGTGGGTGGAGCGGATGTCACCATGGAAACCTAGACATCGATTCACTACGCTCACTCGCGCCGGGTCACGCTCGGTCAAAGCTCCCCTCTCTCGAAATCCCCTTCTTTTCCCAACCTTATTTCTATATCACTCCATTTCCCCTCCTTCTCTTTTGCCGTTTGTCTATCTATTTATCACATATCGCACTTCTACACACGATTGGGCTGGTTTTATTAGCTTGTTCTTACTACCACCGCTTACAAATCGTTACGGGCTCAAGGACCAAGTTGAAATTTTTGGTCTTTAATTTTCTCAATTTTCTCAGATTGAAACGTTTGATTTGCCTTCCACCCTTCATGGTCGTCTGTTTGAATTTACTCAAAAGTGGGAGAGATAATAAAATCTAAAGATACCACGTATGCGGTTGCGAATAAAAAGGGAGCCGGGGAATATATGTCACGACCCAGTTTTCCCTCGGTGGTGGTTTATCCTGGATTGCGTTAAAATGATTTCATTTTTCTTTAGAAAGCTTGAACAACATTTATTTCCGCATTTTTCTCCAAGCCCGCCTAAAGCTAATTAAACTTTGGCCCCACTTCGCGATTCGAACCGCACGATTGTGCCACAGCCTCGAAATCTCAAAATCCTTTGTATTCACTGAAATTTAAATGATTCCTTTGCTAATTAATTTGAAGTTCACGAGTCAATGTTGAGGGCGTGCAAGATAAAATACAATATTTATTTTAATATTGTATCTTTCATTCGATTCAATACATGCCGAGGAAAATTAACGGCACATCCCCTATACTCTTTGGAACAACCAAAGTGCTTTGATGGTTCAGCCTATTCAAATACGTTTACATAGGTGACAACTATTTTCCTACTAAATGTTTTTAGTAAAAACAATGTCTATATATTCAAAGAAAACAAATCGGACACTATTATTTTGTTGTTTATTTCAAGTTAAAATTTTCTATATGGATTTTTATTGTTATATAATCTATTTTATGGTAAACCAAATTAAAGGAGATCAGAAATTCATGAGTTAAAATATTTTCAAAATTATTTTTTATTAATTTAATTAAAATTTTTAGTTTTAATTTAATTAAAATATTGATGGTATGAAAGAAAATTCTCTGAAACACGGAAAAATCATTTGATGATAGTTTAAAATTTAAATAACAATGTATAAACTTTGTTTGCTCTTAATAACGCTTATTACTTCCTCTGGCCTCTCGGAGGGTCTTAAGTCTCCTAAGCATCGAGTAAATAAGAAACCGAAATTAAAAATTTCACCTTGTGAAACATAATTGCATTTATCAGTGGTTTGAAGCTGTTCAACGCTTGTTGTAGGCGGCAAAAGATGTCTAACCCGTCTTTTTATAATGTGTCATAAGTGTTTTTTAAAATTCACAATGGACTGTTATTATACATTAACACGATGTTATCCCAATAAATGGAACGAATGGGACCTTAGCTTCCAGAAGAACTTCCTCGATGTACCTTAGCGTAGACAAAGAACACCCCACACTATAACTGATTGTCTTTGAAAAGTTTGTGACTCGTGCATGACACAGGAAAAGCGTGTACTCCACTCCACATTCCCGGTCAACTGATTGCCACCGGCACCTCTTCTGTAAAAAGAACAATTGTTCAAGGGAGATGCTGATTTGAAAATAGTCACATTTTTACTCGATGTTGAGAATCTGATGCGGGACGTCTAGAGACTACACTATTCTCACGAAGCTTCTTTCTGTTGACTGTTTTACAGCTCGCCTTTACATTACGGACCGTTTGGAGTTGACTACCTATCAAGGAAGCCGTTAAGTGGACGGTTCCGTGGTGCGTTAAGAGCAATAAAACGATCGTCTCGACCCGCCGCGCTTCGTTGTCAATCACTACCTTTTCTTCGATCGAGTCGTTGGCCAAAGCATCTGCCCGCGCGAGATCTCGACTTAAAACAATGCTTTTAAGAAAAAAATTGTTATTCGAATTTATTATTTCATAAATGAAAAACTAAAAAACAATTAACTGTCTCAACAAGTTTGCTATAGAAAGGATAAAATTGATCTGATTTTCATTATTTTTAATCTAAAGAGTGTAAAAAGCGTAGTAACACTTTATAGACGTAAACAACATGTAATTTTGGGTTTATATTTTAAGTAAACTATTAACTGTTATATTTAGTTGTTGTGGAAAATCGAAAAATAAATACAAGTGTCCGATTTTTTTACCTTGATTGTATGTACGTACAACCTTTTCCAATAGTTTAACGTTAAATGTTACATAGTTGTAAATTAAAGGAGGAGATTAATGTAGTTATAGATGGATGCCATTTAGTAAGCCTTATATCTTCACCTTTTCAAATTCATTGAGTCACTGTTGATATACAATTATTCTTCATTTCAGACAGTACATAATCGAGATTCTTAAACAAAATCTTGTTTTTTTTTGTGTTTAAATAAATGACAAGGAAAATTAACGGCGCCACCGCTATACACTTTTGCACAATCAACATGGTTTGTTTGTTTAGCCTATTCAAATACTTTCAGCATGTATTAAACCTTATTCTACAACTTTTTTCATTAAAAAAATGTAAACATACGTATTATTACACACACACACACACACACACACATTGTATGTACGTACAACCTTTTCCAATAGTTTAACGTTAAATGTTACATAGCTGTAAATTAAAGGAGGAGATTAATTTAATTATAGATGGATGCCATTTAGTAAGCATTATATATTCACCTTTCCAAAATCATTGAGTCAATGTTGATATACAATTATTCTTCATTTCAGAAAATACATTATCGAGGTTTTTTAAATAAAATTTCGTATTTTTTTTTAACAAGGAAAATTAACGGCGCCACCGCTATACACTTTCGCTCAACCAACGTGCTTTGATGGTTTAGCCTATTCAAACACTTTCAGTATATGTGAAACATTTTCCAACTAAACATATCCATAAAAAAAATTATATAACCTTCATATTAAAAGTCACGATTATAACGGCACCTATTATTAAAATAATCAATACAAGCCGAGCACTAAGGTAAGATACCTAAGAGTAGAAGTTGGTAAAAAGCTCGGTGCAAAACGACATTCATGCATGCACTCAAAGTTTTAAATTCCACCCCTCTTATAATCCTGATTGTACAGAAAAAAAGCATTGTTTTGAGGAAAGAGAGAAAGAATGATCAGCGTACGAGGTGTGTGGAGCCAAGCAAACGGTTTCAAGTCAAATGGGTAGAAGAGAAATAGTGAGAAAATGGCATTCAAGGCAGGCTAACCTTTCGGTACTTCTCATCGGTTCGGTTTCGACCCCTAGCAATAAGGATCTCCCCGATTACTGGACCATCCTAATTATGACAGGGCACGGTAAGTTGTTAAGTTACATCCACAAGTGTGGATTCCACGAGGATATCGAACATAAGATCTTATACTGCAAGAATTTATTTATTTTATTAGGTTCAGTTAAATTAGTTAAACTGCAATCAAATATTAGGTAAGTTTATCTCTGGCTGTTTGATTTAATTAGACAATATAAAATTTTAATATCTAAATGTAAATTGTTTTAAGACCAGGGGAAACCAGCAAAGATAGTTCTTTTGATTTAGAGTAAATATATTTATAGATATATAGTTTCTTTTACCTTATTTTGATCTCTCTTCGTAGGTGAGACCAAGCCTTAAGAAATTAAACACTCCCCAAAAACTGTAATTTTAACATGCCGAGTAAATGTTTGTTTTGCCGGTATGAAGTCTTTCTTAAGCACGGCGTGCTGGTTGGGTGGGGAAAGCCTCATCTCTGAAGATGACGAGAAGCCGCAAAGCGGCAGGCTAAAACATAAATGGTAGGCAGATCAATATGATCGATAACGACCAAATTACAAGTTTACCATACAGAAGAACGCATTGATAAATCTCACCATTTAACATTTTCCTACTAAAAAGTATTTTAATGATTTTTTAAGAACATATACTCTAACGGAAATTTTAAAAATAAAAATGTATGTATTTTGTAGTTGTAAACAGACATTTTAAATTCATTAAACATCAAACTGTTTTGTTATTATTATAGCCATTTAGTTGTGAAATATTTCAGTGGAGTGTATTTAGTGTTGTTGAAGATAAATGCCATCTAAATCTTTACCTTTTCAAAATCGAGAAGGCAAATGTAATAAAACAAACATTCCCGGGACATTTTATTTACACATTCAGAAATAAAAAAATGTGCAAACATAAACATATGAATGTTAAAATCGTTGATCCGTTGATGTGCGACGACCCGTCTTTCAATACGTTGTATAAAACTCCAATCGGATTGAGTATTGAAAAAAGTGCCGGTGACCGAACGGATGTAGAACAAAGTGGTTTCCAATCCAAAATGGCCCAGAAGCGATTGGCACAGAGGAGGGGCGCACCTTGATCCAGCTCGCAGATGTGGTTGTCGAATCTGAGCGGGCGGACGCAGATGTGGTGGTCGTCGTCGCTGTCTTTCGTCAAACATGAGTCGTGCGAGAACAGACAGATAGCTTTGATACAGTCGTCGAAGGTGAGAACTGTCAGTTCGACGGCCTGGAAGTAAATTCGGTTCGTCAAGTTGACAAATGTCGATCCGTTACGACGAACGACAGACGTACATTCGCCGTTTTGGTAGCCGTGCAGACTGGCCACCGCTTCCCTTTTGACCAAGTTGAAAATCGGTTTCGCCGACGGCCACGACTTGAACTCGCTCTTTGATACTACAATCGCCATGTTGTAATCCCAGCCCAGCCTTTTTTTGAATCGGCCGCAATCGGGGTGAATCTTCAGAGCAGCTATTTCCTTGGATTCACCCCGATCGTCTTGGGCAGTTCGGTTTTTTGAGTAATACAACACGAAATCGCCTTTCCCATAACACACCCGCTCGCCCCATGGCTCATTCCAGTCACAGAAGCAATTACAGGACGTAATTACGTAATTGACATTTATAATTGTACCTAAACAAACGTGTTGCTCTTTCCACTTTTTCTGAATGCTCACAACAAACGGATATTTCTTCACGGCTGGAATCTCCCATTCTGTACTTAAGGAATGTATAACAAGGATTAATAAAATAAAAAACACAGTAGCCATCACTTTACAATAAAACATTTAAAAATAATATTTTCTCATTATTTCTATCATTCTGGGATTCAGCTGATTTTGTTACACCTGGTAGAAAATGTTAAACTATGTATTTAAAGGGCTATACTTTTATTAAGAGACTTCTAGGGCCCGCAGAGAGCAATCTGTAGTTTGAATTGAAAAAAGTCTTCGCCTGAATTCAAATTATACAGTTCCATCACCAAAGATGACGAAACAGAAATTCTCTCGACAAACCAATCCAACAAAGATAGGGATAGGGATAAAAGAGTAGCCACAAGCCCTACTGCATCTCGACCTGAATTGTGCTATTGCCTATTGTGTTCCCCTGTTATTTTTAACTCACTGGGCAGCTTCAGTTTATTAATCAACCTCCATAGTTTTTCCAGCGGCTCCTTAGTGTAGGATCTTGCTTTATCCTTAAGGAGGCCAAAACCTAGTCGAACAATACCACAGGTATGAGGTACGCGAAGATGGTCATAGAAGGAACATTCGCGAAACTTACAAAATAATTACTGGAAGCTGGCAAGTAAGCGCAACCAAACCAGGATTTTGGTTGGACTCCTACCAGGGCACTGCCACATAAGAAAGCACATGCATCGGACAGAAGAAACATGTGCAGATACTGCTCGGAAAAGGAGGAGACCGCAGAACACACGCTATGTTTCTGTGAAGGTCTATGTACGAGCTGGTTCTTGAACAAGAAAAACCCAATAAGGGTGGGTTAGCCAAAATGATCGGAAACGACAATTTTATGTTACATATCAACCCAATCAATCATCAAGCCATAACCACTCCGGGATTCCGGTGTACTTGTCTATTGTCAATTCATAGTACAAAATCGTAAAAACGATACTATACATCAGCTTAAGTTGGTCAAAAAATGATAAAGTTATGGAAAAAACAACCATCTGGTTTGCTATTTCATGTTCATATTTCAGGTTCGAACTGCCTGCCTTGCGTAAAGATGCAAATATTTGCTCATTTTAACCATTCTTTACCAGCTGTCAGAGCCAGGGACGTCAGGGATGGATTGACAATACTTTTATATCCTTTGCCGCAGTTCTTCAACTTAGGGTTCACTGTTTTTTAAACGGCCCCACAGAAAATAGTTAAGTGGAGTTAAATCGAGTCACCGAGGAGGCCAACAGATCGGGCCATAAGGTTCTATCCACCTATCCCAGAAGTGACGATTCCAATAACGTCTCACCTGTAAAGGATTGTGGGCGGCGCATCCATCAAGCTGGAGAATCATTCTTTGTCATTGTTACAGAGGAACATCAACTAATAATGTTGGTAAGCTCCCTCAAAAAATTCGGGACCTGAGCACTATTTAAATTATTTTCGAAGAAATAAGGCCCAATTATTTTATTTCCGAAAAGCCCACACCAATACTGTGAACCACCTGATGATGACAAGAGTACGAAATTCTCGGATTTTCTTCTGCAAACATTTCCAAATTTCAACGGTTTAGAGGTGAGGTGAACTTGGATTCATCACTCGGTAGGATGTATGGAAGAAAGTTTCTTGGCTTTAGTGAAGAAACAAATGATTGGAATTAACAGCGAAGCAAACGAAGTTTGTTTTTTCAAACTATTGGCCATAAATTTGTCTTTTTTGATCAATTTAAAATCCATTGTTCTATTGCTTTCAGCGTACAAAAAACCTTTAAAGTGTGGCAAGATGTATAGAGAAGTATTTGAAATGTTTGTACAACTTGAAATGTTGAAGTTGAACTGAGTCTGGTGTACACTGTAAAATTTTTCTCCAAAAAAGGCCAAAATTTGAAACTAGTCTAAAAAATATCGTCTTGTCCTGCTACCTCTCCTTGTTGGTTTATCAGACGAATTTTAGCTTTTCAGGAACTAAACGAAAATCCAGACCCAACGCTGAAGGAGACGAGAAGCCGAAAAGCGTCTGATAGTGTAAAACGGTGAGAAATGCCCGATCAAAATGATCAGAAACGACCAATTTTAAGGATCTTTGCAACGTCAAATGTCCTGTCACCACAGGGATTTTGGAGTATTATTAATTCTATTGTTTAAGTACGTTCACGGTTTTAAAAAATACTGAGAAAAAAGTGGCAAAAATATACGATTTTGGTCATTACTGGCTATATTGTATCCTAATTTGTCCTAGCCTCGTTTGTTAGACGAGTTTCGGGTCCTCAAGCAATTCAGTACTGGTCCTCCAAATAATACTTGACTAAACGGAAATCATACAATCACAGCACTGAAGCTGAAAATCATCAGAGAACAGGCAGACCATGATGATTAATCATTAATCATCAATCATTCTGATGCGCTTATTAACATGCGTAAGTGGTTCTGTCCGTGCTTTAAACAAATAAGAGCAAATACTGATTTATATTTTAGTCCGGCAATTTTTTACTAAATATTTAATTTTGTGTTAAATTATAACCGCTGTCAAATTGTTTTTCTTTTTTAATATTAAAAAGTCCAACAGTGCTTTTCTACTAGCGCGTCGGGGACATCAGATAAACGAGTGTAAGTTCGGCAACTCCTATCCAATGTTTATCGACTATAATGAGTTAGTGTACACTTTGAATAGCCTGCAGCTTTCATAATCGCCCGCTTTTCTCTGCAGCTTTTATAAACGTTTAAATATATTTATTTGAAGGTCTCGTTATATATCGCTTAGTGAGCTGTATCTCGTGCGATAAGAAGGGGAAGTCTGCGGCGCTTCTATCTCACTCATTATCCTCTCATTATCTGATTAAGTCGATGATTTTTATGCGAAGCCGTCGTTAATGTGGGATCCGTTCCATAAACTCTTGTTGTAAACTGTTCCTCTGCAGACTCGGATAATTAATATTAAATTGGTTTAACTGATATGATAGCATTCCGTTTTCCAACCCTCTCACACTTTGATAAAGCACTTAAATTAGAGTAAAACATACATAAATCATCTTCTATAAATATCGAAGTAGCAATTTTACTAAGCGGATGAGATCTTATAGAGTGTATTAAAATCTCATATCTGAACAAAATAAGAATAATTTTTAGAAATTTTATATTACCAATCAACTAACTAATTTCATGTCACCAATGTAATTTCTTTTTAAGGCTAACTATTTTAGAAAAAGTAAATCGTGTAGAGTAGGTGAACCGGCGCATTATCGAAACGGAAGCTTTCCCTTTCATCCAAGTACGATTTTCAGTTATAGCGCGCAATTTCCTATTTACGTCTAGGGAAAACAGTTCATATATCATTTTTTCTGCAGACAGAGCACTAGGCCAGTCCTCTAGGCGGAAATGTGTCTCACAATAAATCTATGAAACATTGTAGAGATAAAAATAAGTAAATTAAAAAGAAGAAGCGTTGTTTACTTTCCGAAGAGAATTCACTTGTATTATTATAAAACAATGATATTGATGATAGAACAAACTATTCATTGTTTATGAAAATTATCATATAAAATTGATTGAAATCAGATGCTTTCTTTAAATTTCATTGGCAAAGAAACGACTTTGCTATAAAGACTCGAAAGATAAATTGAAAGCCTTAATCTGCCAGAGAATTATAATAAACGAATTAATCTTACGAATTTTCTGTTTTGCATTTTTTTCAAATTTAACTTCATTTATTAACAGTTTGTTTTTCAAATCTAATGTAAAAAAGTATTTTAACTAAATTCGGTTTATTTTTTACAGGTGAAGTGAAGAAGGGTTGCGTAATTGGTTCATCACAACAGCCAAAACGCACGGACACTGCCGATATGGTAAGTTAATTTTTCTTTTTCAGGATTATTATTAGATAATTTTTTTCAATATAATAAATAATATTATGTTTTATTGGTAAATAAGATTGTCAACTGTTATATATAAGAAGTTTGGTGATAGATGTATCATAACTGTTTTGGAGAACGTAATTATAAGCATAAATGTGTCGGTATTTACAAGAGAGAAAAAATCCTTTAAAAAAAAAGAAGATAGTTCCTACTCGCAGTAAGTTGTTTTGCAACGATCCGGATTTCGAGCCCTTTAGTTGAAGCTGATGATGAGCTAAAGGGCTCGAAATCCGGATCGTTGCAAAACAACTTACTGCGAGTAGGAACTATCTTTTAAAAAAAAAGATTGAACACCACACTCACTCCATCATTCATCATTTCTATCGTTGATAAAATATCAGGTCGACCTTAATAGTCTTGATAGTGTAATTGAGAAGATGCTAGGTTAAATTATACCTTCTAAGTAAACAAATGATTAAGAGACTCTCCATACAGAATCATCAATACACGCATAGCTGGCCCGACAGAGTTACAGATCAGAAGAAAGATCATACTGACCCGCCTAAAGAAAGAACATGAAAGTTTCACAACATATTTATTTTTCGGCAAAGCCCGCGTTGTGTCCTGCAAGAAGAAATAAATTGTTTTGTGCTCCACTTAATTGATGTCATTCCATGGCTCGATATAGAGATCGAGGACGAATGCAATCCGATGTGAGAATTGGGCTCCAGTACGACAGCAAAACGTCGGATCCTCTATTTTTATTTTCATCTCATTATTATGTATAAAAGATAACTGTTTGGTGAAAATGTATTTATAAGCGTGATTGTATGTGTAGTACAAGTGCATCGATGCAGAATGTCAAATACCATAGACCATAGACCTTCATTTAAACAAGTTAGTGTACGTGTAGATGGTAATAGACGTAAACTGTAATGAAGGAATATCCAGTACTCCACCAACAAAGTTGAATGAATTGTACGTAAATAGAAAATGTATTTTATAGTGGGTGAGAGAGTGAGTCTATTCTATTATCTAATTATATTTGTGCTCTCAACATGTCAAATTCAATATGATATCCATAGGAGTGAAAATAACGAATTAAATTTCAGGATAATTAAGGTTAATCGCAGCAAAAATTTTAAGAATTCTAGGGCTGGGCTGGTATTAGTAATAGGACACGAGGTTCAATTTTTAACTTTTAAGTACCCGAATGATTTAGAGACAATACTGAATCTTCAAATTATTATTACTTATATTTATTTTGAAATCATTTAGTTCGCAGTTTTCTTTTAGATATTCAATTTAATCCTTCCGTTAGTGGACAGTTATGATTACATCGTCGGCATAGATTACCACCAACAAATCTATTAAGCTGTTTATACTTTTCCCTTGGGCGTTAATACTCTGAATGAAAATACAGAAAAATGTTAAAAATAGGGAGAGATAATCTTTCTCCCTACAGATCACCGTTAATTACGTTAGCATTATATTATATTATTACATATTTATTTTCTCTTGGTCAATAGAATTTAAAGCAAGAATATAAACGTTACAACTATAAACAATATTACTTAAATTCACTATTTTTCGTGGTCCGCTTGACCAATTAATAACATTCAGTTAATTAAGGTTTTAAGTTGAGATAAAAAAGTCAGTGTCACGAGCGGGATTCGAACCCACGACCTTCGGCTTGATACGCCGCTACTCTACCACTTGAGCTATCGTGACTTCGATCCCCTCGGGCACTAACTTCCCATCTCAACCCCACCTTTTGAATTTTCCCTCCTTTTTGCCATTTTTTACGAAAAATAGTGAATTTAATGAATTAAATTGAAGTATACTTCACTAAAGCTCGCCGTGGCCATTTCATTTGTCGCCGAGAATCCAATCCCATTACACGACATTTGAAAAATGGCAAAAAGGAAGGAAAATTCAAAAGGTGGGGTTGAGAAGGGAAGTTAGTGCCTGAGGGGATCGAAGTCACGATAGCTCAAGTGGTAGAGTAGTGGCGTATCAAGCCGAAGGTCGTGGGTTCGAATCCCGCTCGTGACACTGACTTTTTTATCTCAACTTAAAATCTTAATTAATTGAATGTTACTTAAATTTAATTAATGTTTGTTGAAACAGTTGGTTTAGGATTTCGTAATTTATTCTTTTATTTTTGTGCCAAATGATTAATTAGATAATAATATTATTCATAAATTGTATTATTTCATTTTTAAAATAAACAGAAGCATGAAAAAAATAATGCAACGGTTCCAAATCTTTTTAGTGTGTCCTAATTATTTATACTGCAAAAAATCCATGGATAATTTCATTACGTATATATAATATATTATATTATTTTTATAAAATAGTTTATTGTTACTCCATGTTTATTTTCCTTCCTGCTGTGTTTCATACTATTACATTAACGGCTGGTAAATTGCATGCAGTCATATTTTTTCTGCTTCGTATCGCACAATTCCTGCAATGCAGTATTTACGTCTTCCGTTGAACCGAAGTTTGCGGAATACCGGAACAGATGGTAATTTAATGACGTTGTGTCCAACGAACATGGTGAGCGAGGTGGGAAGGCCGAGTGCAGCATTTTTTGCCGCGTCACCGAAGAAATATAGGATAAAGGGCCTGCCGTTGTCACGGAGGGGTTGATATTACATTTCTATTCACTAATACAGGTTTTATTTCTTTATACCTTCATTTTGTCGGCTCGGATACAAATATTTGATGAAATTGACCGTTTCGTCCTTAATGCAGGGGCCGATGCTTCTTTTGTCGACGTCCTTTCCTTAGAAATGGTGGTCGGTGAATTCAGTTGGCTTTGTCACAAATGTCAAACAAGCCCACATAATTCACATTTCATCTCTAAACTTAAATTTGTCGGCGTGTCATTACTAAATGACTTTTCCGGACAATAGAATTATTTTTTATCAACGTAGTTAATTCTACGGTTGTAAATTTCAAATTAAAAAAATCTTTAATAATGTAATCATTATTCCAGCTAAATAAGAAAATCACAATAGGAACCTCGTGCATTTAATTACTCTTAATTTAAATTTTTATTTATGAAATCTTATTCATATTGATCCATCATACGGCGGCATAATTTATCATTTTTATCAATTTTTTGAAGCGATAACATTGCACCAGTTACACACCACCTCTGACATATAAAAAGTTTCTTCACATAAAACTATTTTCTTGAAAACATTTTATTTCCAAAAGTTAAGCATGAAGAGAAACATACTTTATCTCGTACCATTAATTAACATTAAGAATGAATTGATTAATTAAAGTTACATGGAAATCGCGCACTAATAAAAATAATTTATAAGAAGTTGATTAATGATTGAGGCGGATAAGGCGTTGTAGATTTATCTTTAACGTCTAGACATATTTATGATCAACAATACTTTACACATCTATCAGATTTAACTATGTAAAATTTATGTTAATTTTTATTTGATAGTCTTTTATCATGTCAGTCCGTTTATTCTCGCAGCTTTGAGAGGTTTCAGTATTGCTTCATCATTCTGGTCTGTGCATGTTTTTCTTATTTATTTAATTACGTCAAAAATGATGAATGAAAAAGGCCAATTTTTGTTTTCAGATTTAATTAATTTTTAAACAAAGAATCTAGCTGGAAAAACGCACACACTAGGCTAAAAATCTAAAACCTCCCTCTAAAGTCAACCAACGTAATGTTGGCTTAAATGTGTGGTGTTAAGTTACTATTAGTTAATGATTTTTTGGAGTTCATGAGCTGCGGTCTGGTGTGACAAGGTTTTAGAAAAACATTTTGTTTATCGTGCCAACGTTTCAATCTTTATTCAAATCATCTTCAGGGCTCTAAGTATTTGTTTTCTGTGCAGAGTGTCACTCTCAAAACGACCCACAATAATGATACATCTACACAGAAAATACACACTTTGAGCCCTGAAGATGATCTGAATAAAGATCGAAACGTTGGCACGATAAAGAAAATGTTTGAATTTCATACTTACTGCCATTTGTGTGGTGTTTGGTGTTTAGTGACTGTTAGTTAATGATTATTTTATTTTTATTAATTAAAACAATTTTTGTTGAAATGCAACCAATACAAGGCCCTGAAGATGATCTCAATAAAGATCGAAACGTTGGCATGACAAAGAAAATGTTTTTCTAAAACCTACGTCACACCAGACCGCATCTCACGATCTCCAAATAATTATTAATTTAAAATTGAAATCAAAGAGCAAATATTAAAAATTTACAAGAAAAGTATAGAAGTTATTCAGATATTCAACGTCATGGATTGAATTCGCCAGGGAAAAGGAAAGCAAAATGAACCTTTTAAGTACGGAGTACCAAAAAACAAAACAAAAAAGAGTAAAAAGGAACTTTGAATAAATTTGCCTCTTTGGGAATTCGTGGCAAGGATTGTCTTTTTTCCCAAAAAATTCTTATCGTCGCCGAGAAAAACCCTATTTCGCCCACGGTCAAAGTGGCGTGGAATCACGCGGAAATGGGCGATGGGCGGCGTTAATTTCCCGTTCTTGCAGGGCATTGAGGGCAGAGGGGCGAACTTGGAGAGCGGTTGTCACCAATCAAGAGATAAAACTTGTCGACAGGTGTCAAAACTTTCAACTTTTAGATTAATTACAGAATATCAGTATGTGACATCCTCTTGCCAAACTCCCAGCCTCGCCTCAACCCTTAACCAGAGTTACTTTGGATTTTTCAAATTAGTTAGCCTACCCTGTCAAAACAAAATGCCAATAGTTGGTTTCAAACGGAAAATTTGATAAAGCTTGTTCTTTCGAAAGCCGTCAAAACCTAGAACTAAAATTCTATAGTCGATTTGGTTGAATTATACGTACAAACTCTTATATAAAATTATCTTGTTAGACACAATTCTAGAAAGACGTTTCATTTGATTATAAATAAGTATAATTTGATCACAGGTATAAGCATCAAATCCACTAAAAAGCTTCTTGGCTTATTAATTC